ATTAAAATAAAATTAAAATAAAATATTAAAATAAAACCTAAAAAAATAATATTTTTGATCAAAATTGAACACCACTTTCTTTTGTTTTTCAATCAGGTTGCAATAAAGTAAATTTGAGGCTATTTTATTAATTTAATTTTTATTAAAAACTGATTTAAATACGCAATAAAAAAGGAAATCCTTCTACAGAAATGTGTAAATGAATTTTCTTGATTTTTTTATGCAAAAACCTCATTTTCGATAAATTGGCGCTTGACCCCTTTTGTCATTCTACCCTTCAATTATTATTTGAATTAAATAAATTGTATTTGAAATTTAAATAGTTTCTGTCTTTGAAATAAATATCATTTAATTTACTCAAATAATCATTATTTTATACAAATTTTGTATGTTTTGACTATAGATTTAAAAAAAATTTAGATTTTTTAAATTTATGGTTTAGTAGAATTTAAAAATTGAAAATATCAGAAGAATTTTTTAAAAGCCATTGAATTTTTATGAAACTTTTTGCTTATATAGTGGTATTTGGGGTCAGTTTATTACGGATCTTGTTTCAAATTTAAAACATTAAAAATGACGAAACCAATATGCTTTTTTAAAATTGATTGCATTTGATTAAAACTTATATTACTTGAAAGTTTTTGCTAATCGTTTTTTAGAAATTCATCCGCTATTTTTAATTTATAAATTCCGATTTCAGATTCGTAATCATCGCAGCGACCTCGAAAAGTTCTATTGGCAACAATAAGTTTCAACAATATTTAATGAGTTTTCAAATAAATCGTCCGCCATATTAGATCGGCCATTTTGAATTTTTAAAATCTGACTTCGAATTTATAATCATCAGCGACCTCGAAAATTTTTTAACCACAAATTACAATAAGAGTCAATCGCTGGTTATTAAAACATTGAAAAAATTTATTTGACTTAAATAATCGATTACGACTATATTCTCAAATAAATATTTCTTGTATTAAATAATTATTTTTTGAGTCAATTAAATGGTATTTGTTTTAAATACAGAAATTATTGGCTCGAATACAATTTATTTAATTCAAATAAAAATTATTTGGTAGAAGCAGAAATATTTATTTGGTAAATAGTCATGTAACCAATTATTTAAATCAAATAAATTTTTGACGTACGACAATATCTTACTCCTAGGTCTAGGGAATCAGTAAGAAAAATTATTGGCATTCATATCGACGCCGAGTTCTCGAAAACTATGTCATATTTTCAAGATTTTTGTGTTATTCGATTACTTTAAGTTTAGTCTCGGTGCCACACTTATTTTTTTTTTAATTTGTAAATGAAATTTTTTATAGCTTTCTATATTACCGACCGGTTAAAGATTAAAACTACATGTTAGTACAGCGCTGACAGTATTTTAATTTTTGTTTTTGCAGATTCTATCCTCGATGGCTTGTGGTGTCACGTATACTTCAAAGATAAGGGCAAAAGTAAAAAAGGATCTTGAAGGACACAGAATTCTTCATATTCAGACTTTTTTAGAATTCGGTCTATTTTTACGGTTATTTTTCACATTTTCTGAATGGAAATTTAACTTGAAAGTAGGAATCTCCGAGGGCTATTTAGTTTGAAAGAATCTCCTTGAAGCTGAAAATTCGTTATATTAAGGTAAATATTTTAATTTATTGGAAAAATTTTATAAATTTGATATTTGATACAAATAAATATTTATTTGATAATAGTCAAGTAACTGATTATTTAAATCAAATAATTTTTTTTTCAGTGTAATTATATGAATTAAGTGTAAAAAATTTTTTCTTGAAAAAAGAACAATAGATATCGTTTTAAATGCAAATAAATTTTTTGCGTTTTGCGTGTTTATAAAAGAAAACGCATTTTTCATAACAGTCGCTTTATATTAAGACAGGTTGCGTGACTTAGTCATATTCATTATGACACCTTGACTCTTAAATATGAATCTTGCATTCATAAAAAGGCATATAGAGGCGCCTTAATAAAAACGAACGCACCGGCAACGTATGTATGTGAAAAACGAATAATTTAATATTATTCAATTTTATTTATCGAACCCGCACACACACGTATATATATGAATCCACCTACAATTACTCGTTGAACTAAAATTTAGTATATAGCAATAATATACGCATTTGAATTAGCAACACTTTTGAATTCAAATTCAAAATTAATTACATCTATTTCGTTATTTATGTGACTGAAAAATATACTCGCGAATGATTTGTACAGTTGTTGATTAAATAACTGTTTTAGCCAAATCGTAATTATAAAATTTTGATTCGATGAATTTATGTATAGAGGTTTTGTCTCAAAAATTATGGTTTATTTTTAGTGGTAATTTTTTATTGCAATAAATTTCATTTTGTTTTATTATTATTTTGATGCTTAGTATATTTTGCTTATTGAAAAATGTTTGATATAGGAGGAGTTAAAAAATTTCGATAGCTTATATTTAAATGCCGCATTGGAATATCTTAAATTTTGACGAGGACGATTAATTTCGATCGACAAATACCGCGCTTCATGCAGACAATATAAAAAATCATCAATCACACAATCATGAGATCTACAGACACCTCAAGTAACTCACTATATCTTTCGTGGATCTTTCTCTCTCTCTCTTTCTCCTCCATGGGCGTGTCATCTCGATCTGATCCAATCCCCCCTCTCTCTCTCACAGCATCCACCAAAATTCCGACGCGCCTGTGTGTGCGAAGTATATATAATAAAATCATCCGGGCGCAGCCAAAAAATCATCTGACAAATTCATCTAGATATCAGGCAATAAAACCCACGACTCGCTGAATTCGATGTTATCTATAACTTCTTTTCTTGGGTGCTTATAGACTCTATATAGTGGCGCCAAGAGTTCCAACATTCCGCTATAGCAACTTTGAAATCTTACCTTTTCTTCGTTCCTCGCTAAAAAAAAAAAAAAAAGAAAAGAAAGAATGGAAAAAAATGCGAGAGATTCTGCTTGTCGATCAGGTTAATACATGTTTCTTCTTCCGTCTGACGATTTTACAAACTCACAATCTTGATGACCCAGCCAAAACAGCAAAGCAGAGAATTAAATAGATGTATACAATATATTCTAATAATATATTTTTTTTTCTTTTTTCTCTCGAGGAATGAATTAATAAATCTTTGTAAAATTTTTATAAATTACTATCCGATATTATCAAAATTTTGTAAAATTGTCAATATATAGATCACTAAAATATATTTTAGACATTTTTTAAATGTGTCGAAACTGGTACCGATTTCTTCATTAGAATTTTATTAATTTATGTTAATAATGAACATATTTAAAATTTTGAAAAATACAATTAAAAAAAACATTTCCTGTTCCAAAATGCCCAAATTTATTAAAATAATTATTTATTGGAACAAAACATCGATGAATATTTATTTATATACGGGACTTTAAAATAAAGTACCCTCTAAATACAAATTGTATAATATATCTGCGTATAACGCTGCTATTTAGAAAAGAAAGAAATTAATTATTAAATAATAGATTACGCAGTGCCGTACTAAATGCATTTAAGTTAATATTAAAAAAATCAATGTTATTAGCAATCGTATTCGCCTTTATAGACAATGGTATTTGAAATAGTACATAATGTCTGGGATAACGTATAGGAATAGAAAATTTAATGAATGATAGTAGAGGAGGGCAATCAATGTATCCAGTTAAAATTTAAAAAAAGAAAAGTAAATCAAAATAGTCAAATCTATAGATGCAAGTCTGGGTATGCTCGCCAATGAACAAGTTGTCATATTTATGTGAAAATCTGTCAAAACGAACATTATAGTTTGTCTAGTAAAAAATCGAAGGAAACGATTTTGAACTCGTTCGATTCTAACAAGATATTGAGCACATGACACACAACAATTTTCAATTTGTCATCTAACAAATGAAAAGTAAAGTCATATTATTATTATTATTATTATTAATTATAATGATTACTTAATTATTTAATTAATTTTAATAAAATATTCTTAATTTCATCACGAGAATTATTTAAAGTTAAAAAAAACTGTCTAAAAATAAAATTAGTTTAAATATAAAAAAAAAGGAATAAAGATATGGTAATTCTAAGAAATTAAGTTTATTATGATGTTAAATGATAGAATATTGCTGCGATACTTTAGTATTTTATTGCATATAATTAAAAGACACTACTCATCTCGTTGGTTTGCTATATAAGAGAATTTTATTATTTATCGACACGACGTAATCTGGGAATCGAGAGCTTCGAGACATTTTGCCGGTCGATACAAGGGAATACTTGGGCGCATTTTATTATCTTGTTCGTTCATAAATTTTACTACGAAAATAAAATATCTACCTTCCTTATAACAACCCAAAAAAGAGGTTCCGCGGAGGCCTCTCACGACGACCCATACGTGTGCCACCTTTGTGTTTTTAAACCTCTTGATTCAGCAAAAGAATTATTGTATAATGACATGAGGAAACTTATTTTTATAATTATTATTTCTTTCACATTGCTTAAATTCGATTCGATTATAAAAAAAAATTTGCTCTCAATTTTTATATATAGGTACTTTAAAATTTTTTAAAATAAAAATTGCTATTTATTATTAAATAATAAAATAAATTACTCTTCTACTTACGATTTCTTTAACAATCGAAAGAGCGCGAACAATTTTTTCAAAATTATTATATTGTCCGGAAAATTTAAAAACAATTTTTTTTCACATTGTTCTTTGCAGAGAAAAATATTTTTTGCTTCCCTTATTTTTATTAACGATTCTTAATTACATTAAAATTTTTATTATATCACATTTAAAGTAGTTATTAAAAAAAATAATTTCAAATCATCTACAATTTATTACTAAACTTTAGTTAATATTAATTAAATATACTTTTATTAAATAGTTAAAAAGAAAATAATTCTACTATTTGAATTATTAATTAAAAAAATAAAATTAGTGTAAAATAAGGGTAAAGTGATAAAACTTAATTTCAGTATACCTCGCATCGTCAATATATTTCGAATCTTTGAAAAACAAATATTATATGGTACAGTCACTGCTTTTCCACGATTCTAAAAAGCATATACAGTATACACAACGAAATATTGTTACAATAAAATTACTTAAATCTATATGGTTTCGCTCAGTCATTCCTTAATAATTTTTCTCACATCATACATATATATATATATAATTCAATGTCTTACAATTTTTGTTTTAAATAACTAATATGTACAGGATATCACACAATTAAATCGCAGTACATATCTTACAAGTAGCACTAGTTGTTTGTTTTATTTATTTACTTTTTTAATCAAAACATAGTCTTTCACACAATATTTACAAAAAATTTTCCATTTCGAAAATAATTTCTAAGTAAAAATATTACATCTATATAGTAAAACATATATAGCTATGAAACAATTATAAAAATTATATACACCTATTTTGTTCCAAAAATGTATATGTAATATATATATATATATATATATATATTTTTATTATCTATAATTCACATATGTCACTTTTCAATTACTATTTTGCAATATTTTTTCTTAGACTATAAAATATTCCTCTGCAATTTTTTTGCAATACACTTTCAATGTTGTTAATTATTTTTTAATATTCTTAATTTTCAATATTTGATTCAATGAAACTAAACAATTTTTAAATAATATACTGACAAAAAAAATGGCGCTTTTTTAAATTATACTGTTTACAATTTAAATCAGTGAAATTTTTCTGATTTCATAATTAATTTTTACTTTTTTTTAAATTACTTTGTTCGTTGTAATGTTACTTATTAAGAATATTAAAAAAAAATACGTCAAGGGAAAAGAAACAGAAATATATTCCTTAGTTGGTATTATACTAGATTTCACGTGACGACTATTAAGAAGCGTTTTAGGCGTGTGCACATCGAAAGTTTTGAAACTGTTGCTATATATTTGGTTTGAAGTAAAATTGAGGCACAAATGTGGTTGCACTTTTATACAATCACCTAATGCGATTTCCATATATCAAGCTTCTTTTTTTTTTTTTTTTTTTTTTTTTTTTTTTTTTTTTTATTTATTTAAATTCTACGATTCTATAAAGTATTCAAAAATAGGTTTCATTAATTTTTTCGATGGAAAAACATTTAATTTAAAGATTTTAAAGACGGTATACATTCCAGTAACAAGTTGAAAAAACATTTTAAATTTTGTTTCAGTAAGTATGCAAATTAATGTTGTGCTAATTATATATAAAATGTAACATATCTGATAAAAATAAATACACTTTAATTAAATTACTGTTACAACAAATTTATCAAAATAAATTAAATAAAGGAATTTAAAAAAAAAAAAGGTTTGTATTTCCTTTCCGCATGATTATTTGATATCTCATCGAATTTAATTGTCAAATTTTCGAAAAAAAAAGTGAAATAATTATCTGCGCCAGCACAGATTCACGATGCATATTTTACATACTTATAAAAGCAAAAAAAATTTCGTTTAATCTCAAAAATAAAGAAATTTAGAATTAATATATACATAAATTATAAAAGAAAATAAAAATATGGAAAGAAATCGCTGATGGTGTTAAAAAAATAATTAATATCTAATTTGAATGAAAATAAATTTTTTACAAAAGTGCGTACATATATATATATATATATATAAATAATTCAATCAAACCAATTTGCCAACTGATTCAAACATTCGATTTTTGCAGAGAAGGTTCCACAGCCAAGCATCGATGACGAAACATCGAACAACAACAACAACAAAAAAAAATATCCATGCGATCCCCAATTGGCCTAATCCCATATCGGTAGACGTAAAAATATTTAATCTGGATCATCCTCACGAAACTAGTCACGTTATTTGTCATTAGTGATTTAGATTTATAAATATAATGAATACTTTGCAGATTTGGACTAGTCCTGTTGTATTTTTTTTTTTTAAATCATCCAAAAGAAATTTTGCGCCAAATCGTGACTATTAAAAATCTATATAGATGGATTATTATCGTTTTCTAATGACAGATTTTATCAGATTAAGATTTTCATCATCAAGTAAGATAGGCTAATACGCAGTCGCTTGATGATGCATCAAAGGATTAAAATGATGACCAAGATGATGTGGCGGTGGACCTGGTAGGGGACTGTGTTGGGGACCTACTGTTGTTGGTTGACAGACGTACCATTCCGTTAATTCAGGACCCCTAGATGATAGATGTGTTGTTGGATTTGTTGTCAATGTTGTTGTTGCTGATACAACTGTTTGAGGTTGTGGCGATTCCGTTTGTCCCGTTACTGATAAACTTCCTCCACTACTGCTACTTTCTTCTCCCTCACTCTCGTAACCGCCTCCGAGTTTTCCATCACCCAATGTCATTCCGTGCACCTGATTAATTAAAAACAAAACATTTATTAATTTCTTCCACTATATTAGTTTACTTCTAATTAAAGAATTTTTTTTCTCAAGCAAAAGAGATTTCTAAAATCTTATCATGATTTATTGTTTCCAATGAACGATACAAGTGTTAGGATAAAATTGAAAAACAAATTTTTTTTGTTTGTTTTGATATTTATGCAATTCTTCAAAGTCAAAAAAGAAATGAAACTTTAGGTGTATTTAAATTGAAACATATCACATATTTATTATTCTTCGTTTTCTTATTGTCTTCTTATCTAACAAATTGTATACAATTTGAATCTTATGTTTACTTTTCAAAAATAAAAATTTTGCCATTTTTTAATTATTTAAAAGGGGCACATGAATTTCTCATGAAAATCATTAGTTAAAATTTTCATTAGACCATATAATTATTTTTTTATACGAATTATCATATTTTTCAAATTAGCATTTGACAGAATTTCTTTTTAATTGAATTTTTACTTCAGAAAATTTTTAGGTAGCGACTTTTTATTTTAATAGAATTTCAAATTTCACCCAAATTTTCATTTTAAAACATCTAATTTAACCGAATATATTAATTTAGTAGAATTATCATTAAAAAAAATTTTAAGTGTTTCAAATGTATCCATTTTTTTTTTATTTTATCGACATAAAAGATTTCGTCGCGAATTTTAAATTTAAAAATTTGAATTACTTAAAATTCTGTTAAATAAGAATTCTGCTAAATTAATATTCGGTCAAATTAGAATTATTTTACTTTAATAAAATTAACTAATGATTTTTATAGCCCTATTTAAAAGTCTAAATGATTTTTCTAAATATTTTTTCTTTTAATTTTTCTTTCAACTATATTCGCCTTATAATATTTATTCATTTTTGTTATATTTAATCTTATAAAAAAAATTGAGTAGGAAACAGGAGAAAACAATAAAAAGATAATAATAATAATAATAATAATAATAATAAAAAGAGAAAGACAGGAGTCAAAAGGAACATAGTGAAAGGATTTCTCCATCAAAAAGAATGTCATGTCTCTCTCTCTCTGTCTCGTGTTCTTGAAAAATAAAAACCTCCCTTTTTGATGATATACAGAAGAAAGATACCCGGTACCTAAGTTAATCTCAGAAGAGAGAAAGAGACTAGCTTCCGCGAATTATTTAACGTCGACGAAAAATCAAGATTGCCTATATGAATATGCCTATATTGAACACGTATCTCGGGAGTTAGGTAAAGTGGTTTGTTCTGGTCTACAGGTAATTTCCCATTAAGATTCCATGCTCGGTCGCGCGTAAACTTCACTAGGTCTGACTTCTCTTCCCTTCTTTATTTCTTCACAAGATGGACAGAACGTCAGCTCTTTTGCTACTTGCATAGAGGATCATCGGTAAGGTCAGGAGGGTTTGAGGATTCTTTTTTTTTTAAAATGGCAAGCGCTTAACTTCTCATCTTATATATATATATATGGTTAAATTTCATTCGTGTTCAGAGAAATGTGTTTTATATTTAGAATTTCATTTTTTACCAGCACAAAGATGATGAATTATAATCGAATATTGTTAATTTCTATTAATATAGCAAATACTATATTCTATTATATATTTACACCCAGAGATATGATTTATTTGTCTTACAGCCTGATAAATATTTATTTGATTCAAATAAATTTTTATTTGATTTAAATAAAAAATTTTATTTACGCCAAATAAATAGGCTAGTAGGCTGTGAGAAAAATATACGTTTATTTAACTCAAATATATTATATTTGGTTTCGTTTATGTTTCTTTTTTGACAATCGATTTTATATGCTAAATTTTCTGTATTCAAAAATAGACTTGAGATTCTTGATTGATTGTTTATTGATTTGATGAAAGTGAAAATTAAAAAAAAAAAAGGAAAAACATACCTTCATGTGTTTGCGCAATGAACTCGGATGGGTGTAGGACTTATCGCAGCCGGAAACTCGACAGTTGTAAGGCTTGTCTGACGTGTGGACGTGACTGTGTTTTTTCCGATCGCTGCTATTTGCGAATCGTCTGTCACACCCGCTGTATTCACATTTGAAAGGTTTCTCTCCTGAAATAGAAAAAACAAGAACGATTGTAATTTAATTTCATTTATTTATAAATATAAAGCTCGCAAAAATCCATATACATTGCATCATAAAAAAAGTACTTTTATATACATATTAACAACAACATAATTTTATATATATAATAATAGTAATAATAATAATAATAATAATAATAACGTAAGTTTCAAAAATTTTCATAAAGGAAGAAAAAAAAATATTTTTCATTAAAAATGTAAAGAACATAATTTTTTTGAAAAAAAAATGTAATTTAAAAAAAAGAGTTTTTTTTGGCTGCTTACAAGAAGCCAATGGGAGATATCGAGAGATAAAACCCTTGCACGCGAATGGCTGATATTTGCCAGGGTGCAACGACGCCGTCGGCGGAACGCTCCGAGAATCGTGTGGCGTGACTTTATTTATTTCTAACGGAAGTTGACTGGAATATATTTTACCAGAGACCCCCTCCGAACCTCCTGGCACCTACTCTTGAGAAGAGCTAAGGCGCGAAACGGAAACGTAAAGTTGGCGGATTTTTTATGAGAAAAATGGCGACTTGGTTACACTTATATTCTCTGTTTTTTTTTTTTTTTTTTATTTTTTCTTGCCATGTGAATAAAGAGAGGGTGTACGCGAATTTTTCTCTCATCCCCATTTTGAAACATTAATTTTGTTTTCTCTCATTTTACAAACTTAATAATTTAAGAAAAAATAAAATTTTCGAACTGTAAAAATGTTGAAACTGTAATATATATAACGAAAAATAGATATAATGTAATATTAAAAGGATTAAAGGCATTAAATTTTGATCATGCAATCATGCAATTCTTGACACATTATAATTTGTTTTTATCTAATAAAAAAGTCTTGACACCCTTGTTGCTTATCCACGCCTTATATTCTTGCAAAACAAGGATGTATCTTGGGACAAGCTAATTAATTTTGCTGCTATCCCCCAGGTGCGAATTGTCGGTCGGCCCATGGTCGGGCCGACCATGTGCATGGTCGGCCCACCTCGGGCAGCCAGAGGTCGGGCCAACTAGCGAATTGATAACGTCGGCCGACCTATGGTCGACTAAGTTGGACCGACTATGGGTACCATAGTCGGGCCGACCTTGGCTGCCGACCATCCAACTTGACGGTCGGCAGCCATAGTCGGCCCGACTATGGCTGCCATGGTTGGGCCAACCTTGGCAGCTAAAATTTTGCCGACCATAAACATTAAAATATAAAAATTTGTTATACAAATAACATATATTAGTAATCATTTTAAATTCATTATACATTTATTTTATATACTTAAACACTAAACGCAATCGTAAACATACATATATACAAATTAAAATTTTTAACGCTCGCAGGGATCGAACTCGCAACCTAACGCACCGCAGTCTAATACGCTAACCACTACACTACGCAATGACATATGAGTCACGGAGAAAAATAAATGTTATAAGCTACAGCTTGAAAAAAATTAAAGTTAGTAATTCAAAATAATAAATTAATCACATATAACCTTTTTTCTTTTTAAATTAATCAATTACAAGTAAATTAACAAAAACATTTTACATTTGTCAATGGTAGGAGAGAAATTTACTTTATGATGGTCGGCCCAACTATGGGCCTTGGACGGGCCGACTGTCTCTTCAGAAAATTGAAATAAAAATAAAATGTTAATTATAATAATGAAAAAAAAATTAATCTAAAAATAAAACAATTTAGATAAGAAAATTATTTATATAAAACTTTTAATTTCAAAATAAATAAAAATTATGTAACAATTAAATAAATTTTTATTTTAGATACTTTGAGCTTTTACTAATTGATAGTTTATTCTATTATTATTGATACATGCGGTAAAAAAAAAGTCAATTGGAAATAAATTTTGCGTGTAAATTGTTATGTATTTATATTTTAATAATTAAAAATGGCTTCAGTACAATATAATAATAATAAAAAAATAATAATAAAGTTGGTTGAAAAGTTCTTGGAAAAAAATAACTTAACACATTTCTCCAAACTTTATTACACTTGAGGATTCGCCACTGATGATTTCAAAGTCATGCCGACCATTCTCCCCCTAGTCGGCCCAACTGTGGCTGCCATAGTTTGGCCGACTATGGGGAAGAATGGTCGGCCCAACTATGGCAGCCAAGGTTGGACCGACCTTGGCTGCCAAGGTCGTACCGACCATTGTCCCCCATGGTCGGCCCAACTATGGCTGCCATAGTTTGGCCGACTATGGGGAAGAATGGTCGGCCCAACTATGGCAGCCAAGGTTGGACCGACCTTGGCTGCCAAGGTCGTACCGACCATTGTCCCCCATGGTCGGCCCAACTATGGCAGCCAAGGTTGGCCCAACTATGGCTGCCAAGGTTGTGCCAACCATTTTCCCCTTAGTCGGCCCAACTGTGGCTGCCATAGTTGGACCGACTATGGGGAAGAATGGTCGGCCCAACTATGGCAGCCACAGTTGGGCCAACCATGGCTGCCAAGGTTGTGCCGACCATTACCCCCATGGTCGGCCCAACTATGGCAGCCATGGTTGGCCCAACTGTGGCTGCCATAGTTGGACCGACCATTACCCCCCCTGGTCGGCCCAACTATGGCAGCCAAGGTTGGCCCAACTATGGCTGCCAAGGTTGTGCCGACCATAATCCCCCATAGTCGGCCCAACTATGGCTGCAATGGTCGGCCCAACTGTGACTGCCGACGTCGGCAGCCATAGTCGGCCCAACTTTGGGTGCAAATATTTACCATGGTCGGCCCAACTCTGGCTGCCGACCGGTCGGCAACCAGAGTTGGGCCGACCATGGGCCGACGAACCAACTCTGGCGGCCGACCGAAATTCGCACCTGGGCCACAAGATGCAGCGGTACTTATTCGTCTCACGTGCGAAAAGCACGATAACGATGGTAGTTCCAACGAGTTATCTTCGTGACATGGATTATATTCAAATCACTCAGTTTCCTGTAGAGTGAGTGAGAGAGAGAGAAAAAGGGGGAGTACGCGCGCAACTGCCATAAAACGAATGCGCAAAAAAAAGTTTTGAATATTCATAAACGTGTAGGGGAATATCACTTCTTTTAAAATGTTGACAGAAACTTTATGTACTGTAAGTAATGTCAATCTTGCAAATAAGTGAAATGCGAAAACCCTCCTTATTCTCAAGAGAGTGCTATTCGTGTTAATTTTCTTTTTGTCTGCATCTAATTTTTAAAAATTATTTCAATGAAAAGAATTCTTTATTATTATCATTTAAAAATCGAAATTTTTTTATATTTGAACCCGCACACAGTACTGAAAATTTATTGCACATTTATAAATCTTTAAATGCAAACTTCGGAATGTTGAGTTGCGAAGTTTAGTAAAGGTTGTATAAATATTAAAATATCCGTTCTGATTAAATGTTTGGTGCGTAAGTTCACTGAACATTTAACGAACTTTTAATTTAAATGTTCAGTGAACTTACGCACCAAACATTTAATCAGAGCGGACATTTTAATATTTATACAACCTTTACTAAACCTCGCAACCCAACATTCCGAAGTTTTCACTTAGAGTTTTCTAAATATAAATCAGTAACAGATCTGTATATAATTTTGTACATTGTACTTTAAAATGATGTTGAAGATATATTAGTTTCTGCAGTATATAAAATTTTTCTGCCGCTGTAAATAATTTAGAAAAAGATAAATCATTCTATAAAGTAAATTTAAATACGTTTTCTAAATGACGTAAAAAGTATAATATCTTCATATCAATCCATTAAAATTTGATCCCCAAGTTCACACTCAATTGTGAGGAAAATCCGTGATCTTTCAATTGATTTGGAGCTCTGATTCTTTGAAGGTGGAGAATATGAAGGATTAATTCGAGTTATATATATAATATAGGTAGTCCATATGGGTTCGCTAGTCTGGAGTAAAGAATACATATATATATATAATACACAAGACGTTGTGAAATTTGGACGTGGCACGGAAGCAGGACGATTAATAACTTTTCAAATCTGTCCTCGGCAGGGCCCGAGAGCTCGGCAACACGTCGGCAAATAAATAGCAGATAAATAAAAGCTTCGTCCTACGTCCTCTATTCTGTCGCACGGGGTTGCGTGTGCAGATGGCAACAATATACCGTGAAATATTGCTGCTGGTGTGCCCCCACGTACCTCTATATTGTATATATACAGTCAAGGAAGATGATACACGTGCGTGTATGTGTGTGTGATATTCTCCTCTATCAGTAAAGCAGAGATATAAAAAGTATACTGTTTGTGTATTGGTTAGCAAGGTATATATATATATATTGTATGTAGTAAACTCGAAATCGAGCGACCATCCTAGAATGATGGCACGATCCTCAAAGTGTTCTCGTGGTAGTGTGTGGATATCGTGTTATGACTTTCAGAATGGGGAGCACAATGGCCCAGATCCACGCGGGATAAAATAGTTATTATAATCGTTTTAGCTCGACGAGGCCAGGGATTGGATACATACCTACCTATCCCACTTTACTGTTGCTGCCTTCCAGTAAAGCTATATCTGACTGCTGCCTATATATATATATATACATGTAGCTGCTCGAAAACCCGTCCAAGTTTCCAAATAGAAGACGATAATGTACAAATGACTGGATTAGAAAAATGTAGATCGCAATCACATCTGGCAGCTCAGAATTATCGGCGAATAGTTTCTGTTTCTAAAGAGTTCTCGTTTTGCTAAAAGAGAAGTTTAGGATAGACAAGCGACTACCTGTGCATTATGTGATTCGCTCTCCTTCTCAGAAATATCCTTCTGACTTTTTTCTTCTACTTTCATTGTTCTTTAAAATCGACATACATTCCACCAACAACCACTGTATTAATCTGAATCATTGGAAATTTCACTGATTTCAATATAGTGGCCCAGTTCTGATTGTTTGAAATAGTAAGAAGTGTGGGTTACTATAATTAATATCGGTGAAGATTCTCACTGATTCATATTAAGAGAGCAGTAATAGTTTA